CTATGTAATCCTTACACTATGATCACAGCCCGTAGCTCCGTGGCGGTTCGCAGCCGATGCGGTCGATCGCATTGATGTTTGTTTATACCGCGTGCGATGTAACCCCTTGCGGGACTCCGACGATGCATCCTGACGTGGCGAGCGCGTGCCGAGTCCCGTGATTCCAAGGCGACAGGACGCGCCCGGCGCCCATGATTCACGCGAGCGCTTTCTGCCAGGCGACAAGGTTATGATCGTCGGTGGGACAGCGGGACCAGTGACAGTGCACGGGTATACGCGTCTCACCGGCCTGCGAGCGCACTCGCGACCATGAGGACCGGCGGCATGCTGGACGGCCGCGAGTTCGGCAAGCGCGTGCGTCGTGTCCTGGACGGCAATTACTCGTATCGCAAGATCCTCTTCATCGTCCTGGTGTGCGGTGGCCTGCTGCTGTACTTCGGCCCACCCTTCGCCCAGTGGCTCTTTTCCTCCACCAGGGAGTCCATAGAAGGTGAGCTCACGTTGGCTCCGCTCCGCCCCTGAAACATCAGGATTGAGCCTCCTCGCGTCTGGAAATGTTTATGGTAATACTGAAGGAGAGGGAGTCTCTTCCTCGCTGTTTTTCATGAAATTTAATGCGTCTACGGTGCATGGAGCAAGCCTGAGGTAAGGAGTACAAGTGAGGAAATGATTAATCACTTTGGTAGAAAGGAGGGAGTGCCAATGCGAGGCAAAAAATGAACGGAACTCGCTTCTCATAATTTAAAATCAAAATCCCTCTTTAATAAGAAAACGTTTCGACCCGTCTTCGGGTCTGCCTCGGTGAAAACTCGCTTCGACCGAATAAAGCATAAGGCAGTATCTTAGGGAATCGGTGCACCGAGTGACTTCAGAGTCATCCTTCTATCTGTGTTAGTATCAGTGAGCCTCCATATGGTCCCAGGCATGAAGAGGACTGAATAACACAACTCGACAGAGGGACGGATCCGTAACAGTAAACCAGTTTTATTTCTTACCTACTTAATATTCTACTCTACCCGTGCGTTAACAACTTTAGGGCCAGTTTCACAAACGTCGGTTAACTGTTAACCAGAGTTCAGTCGACTCCCTATCTTTTTTCATCTTATTATCTGAGAAGAGACAGAGAATCAATTAACCTGAGGTTAGCAGTTAACCAACGTTTGTGAAACTTACCCTTAGTTAATTATTGTATTAACATCATCGACATATCTTTATAGGGACAATACACGCTGAAGATGGCTAAGTGCAGTTGAAACGTCCGTTAGTTAGACATAGACTTAAGAAATTGCGTTTTCATACTGTCGTCATAAAAAGTCAGATTAGAAAAACATTGTAAATTGTAAACATTGTTACAGCTAATTTTCTGTGTTTAAAAAAACCACAGGCAAAAATACAGGCACAATTTTTGAAATATTTGTAAACTGGCCGAAGGCATCAAGGATTATTTGACGCCAGCAAATGACTAACAACGATCAAGCTTCCAATCGACCATGACTGGCGATGTGTTTTTTAACACAGAATTTATTGCGAAAAATATTACCTCAGCCCCCTGGCCGAGGTAATATTTTTCGCAATAAATTCTCTGTGTTAAAAAAAACCGAAAAGAACATCGCCAGTCATGGTCGATTGGAAGCTTGATCGTTGTTAGTCATTTGCTGGCGTCAAATAATCCTTGATGCCTTCGGCCAGTTTACAAATATTTAAAAAATTGTGCCTGTATTTTAGTTTCCTTACACCGAAAGCTAAAAGTTATGGCTTCTCTCGTACTCCTTGCTCCAAGCTTACTCCACGTATTGTAGCACTGGAAGTAAGGAGTAAGAAGTAAGAAAATCGCAACCTTTACTTATCAGTGCAAAAGCTAAAGTACAGGCACAATGTTTTCAAATATTTATAGCACTGGTCGAACTGCGCTCTAATTCACCGAGAGTGAGCGTCAGAGCTGAGGTAGGAGTAAGAAATGGAAATGATTCGTTTCTTTGCTTCTACTCTTACTTCTTACGCCAGGCTCACTTCATCTATTGTAGACGATCCTTTACAGGATCGTGTACTTTTGCCTGTAAAACACGAATCTGAAAGTTATAAGGATGAGACTCTCCTGCAGTATTACCATATAAATAGAATCATTATTCTTTTCATGACTTAGAACAGGGACTCGATTCATGAATTCGCTCGAAGGAGAAACGTATAGAATAGTTGAAGAATAATTCATAGCAACTTAAATCCTAATTTCGTTAATCAAGGAATAATTTGTCTATATAACTAACGCGTTTATTTAAATTATTTGACAAAGGAGAAACGTATGCGAAAATTCTGCTCTTACAGAAAAGCTGCAAGTTGAGTGGCTATTCGCATGGTTTTTAGCTAATTGACTTTCCGAGTGAGAGCAGAATTTTCGCATGTTTTCTCTTTCAAATACATTCACGAATGAAGCCCCAGTAGGTGCAGTAGATGCATTTCAACTGCTTTCTCACGTGAGTTTACGAAATCTTTTATCTACGCGCTCATTTCATTCACTTATTAGTGATCAGGTTTTGCATCCTTTTTCGCCAAACAATTTAAATAAACCATGTGTTTCGATTACACGTTCAGTTTGTACATTACGCGCGTACTTTTCCACAGCGTTTGAAGATCATTGCATGAATGAGAGGCTGGCCAGCTTCTACTTTGACGCTGTCGAGTATAACGCAAATATTCTGCACAACCCACCTAAGGAGAAAGAGCATCCTTACTTGCCGTACATTGGCAACGGTGTTTTCGGCGTTCCCGTTTCTCCGGAAGCCTGGCTGTACATTAAGCACAGGCGAGCGCTCTTGCTGCCTGTACAGTGGCAGCCGTTGATCTCGCATCCTATACCCAAAGACAGCTCCTATCGAGAAGCAATCGTTGTTCACTTTACAAACGGGATTGTTTATAAATATCAGTGCCTTAGAGAGGGATACCACACGGAATTTCAGTACTACGCTCATAGAGGCCTGGATGGGATTTTAGTGCAGACTGTAAAGCTCTCCAATCCGTTTTCGCTCTCGCAAGATATACCGTTGAAGCCGCAGGAATCCATCCACTGGAGCAATTCTCACATAGAGCCCGTCAGGTAAACGACAGCGCTAGCATTGAGGAACCAAAATGTATCGGCATTTCATTTATCGTCATTTTTCCCGCAACGTTAGAATTCAGGTCGACGGGCTTAATCACGACTACTCCTTCGTGTCTGGATTCGTATCAGCGCCCAACTCCAACAGAATCATAGTTGTATCGATCATCTACAAGGTACCGCCGAAAACGGTGCAGGTGAAAGCACACAGTTCCGTCAAGTTAGAGTTCTTGTCGAGCATCCAGTACAGCGAGCCGATCTCGTCCGAGCAGTACCACGTGGAACGCGACGCGACCAAGAAGAGAGCTATTGACGTAAGCAAACCAAGGATTCTTCAATTCTTCATTTCTTCAACTCGTCATTTCTCAAAAAGAAGAGATATGCATCGGTATTCTTCGTTGTGCAGCTGTTGCGAAAAGCGATTGCACGTCAGCAGCGAAGCCTGAGGGAGGAGCACGTAAATCTCTGGCAGAGTTATTGGTACACGAGTCTGAGAATAAGCGATTCCAAGGCCGACGGCGCCATCAACGGCTACAAGATTAATTCTACCATGTATTACGTACTGTCTCAGGTGTCGCGAAGTGTTCAGGATATTGAGAAAAATGTTGCTATGAACGAAGGTTGCTACCGGGGTCACCATACTTTGTAAGCGTGATTAGAATTGTGTTCGTCGTTTGAAATAATTTACTTGTGATAAATAATTGGGGGTTTTTTTTTAATTTAGAGACGCACCTCGCTTATGGAAAGATGCCTCGACCATCGACGCAGTGAACGAGATAGTCGAGGCATGGTTGATAACGTTGGAAAAGCAAGGTTGCCATCATCTGGTAACCGGAGGTCCTGCGGCTGTACAGCAGGCGATTGTGCTGAGCCTCGGCAGCCTTAGATTCAGTAATCAACATCTCGAATTCAATATCGATCCTCAGTATCTTCATCGCGATTATTTATTCAGGTGCGCTCCTTATTAACGACTGTAAGGCGAGTAAATAATTACAATACGATTTAAAGCACACTACGAAAAAGCAGTCTAGCAAAACAAAACATTCTTTTAAATTACAATTATTTTTATAAAAGTATCATATGTATCATATCTTTAATACTATTGTTAGCGAACTCACCATTGAAACTATATTTCTTTCAGACGTATAAGTTACGGAAACTTAACGCATGTAAATATATCCGTAACAGTTGGCGAGGACAATCGCGCGATACTAGGAGTAGCTTTGGATAAAAGTGATAGTGTTTATTACGGATGTGACGCCGGCTGTTTGGACGCGCCGGTTCCTCTCGACCAGACCTATACGATTTTTCCCGTGAAGTTGACAAAACCGTTGACCGCGATACTTTACATAACGTCCGATCATCAGCACATGCAGGATCTCCGTAACGCCTTGCATGTGCACGAAGTGGACGATGGTACGCTACAAAATATAATTTAAGCATTATTTAAATTAGTGCCGGCAAGTTTTAATGAAAAGATACACTTGAGGCGGATTGAGAGATTCTTTTTTTACGGAAAAAAGTTTTGTTTTTTTTCTCTAATAAATTAAAAACGCAAAGTTAATGTTTTTAGGATAGGAAGTTATTAGGATTATAAGATTAATCAGAATATTATCAAAGCATGAATGTATGCGTCTTTTTCAGCGCCGGCACATGATCACCAAGTGATGGCTTTGCACAAGCACGGACATCAGCTCGGAGGCTTGCCCACGTTATTCTGGGTTAGCATATGTTTCCTGATAATTGTGTTCCATCTGTTTCTATGTAAGCTTATTTTTAACGAGTATTACGGTCACCAGGATCGGCAGCGTGTTCGATATAACAAGCCGTGATGAAAATGTACATAATTTTCTTGTTGCCGCGAGATGTATATATGTATATTATAATATGTGTATATATATATTTTTGCAATTCGTATAATTAGCGGATTAATTATTTTTTCAAGCAATATGAGTGCGTATGTGCGTGCGTGTCGTAATGTATAAATCATATTTTTATAATATTCAATGCATTGAACACATACTTTGCGACCATTGCAGTTATCATTTTCATGCAACGATAGTTTGTTTCATTCAATCTTATCTTCCGTTTTTCTTGATGCGAGAGAAAGGCATGCGATATACTTCTGGCGAGACATAAAAGCTGTACGCGAACAATTGTCTATAAATTTTTCTATGATCATAAGTCAAGATATCTGTCTAATTCATGTATCTTACAATGTTACTTCTGATCTTGGAATCTCGATGTAACATGTTAAGAGAAAAGGATCATAAGATTAATCAGTCACAATTGGTGCTGATTATACGATGAAAATAATTTGTTGACAACATTTATTAGAGAATATGTTAAACGTATAATAAACTGTACAACGTAAATAAACGCATACATAATGTAACAACGTAGGATGATATTACTGATTAGAGAGGTACGAATTCTATGTGATACTTGCCTAACAACGAGATAATAAGTGTGGTCAAGTATCGTGGAATGCTTATAAATGACTATCATTATCGTCATCTATGACGAATGGCAGTAATTGATAGCATTAATTCTCACCCGATTGAAGTACATTTAATAAACATGATTTCACGCACACATACACACATAAAACACACAACATAATTTCATTTGATCGCAAAATTGAAAAGAGATTGTAACTTTTCTACGCAAACAAGCGCATTATTTTCAAGTAAATACAAGGAAAATTACTTATTTTTTAAATTATCTTTTTTTGTAATCTTTAAAATGGTGTGAAATGGATGTCAAATATTAATGTAGAAGAAATTTGGAGCGAGTCATCGTTTAAAGTTCTTAAGTTACCATGTAAAGCTATTAAATGAATAAAATAATATTATCTAGTTACAGAATGATTTTCCATTTGCGTAAAAAAACGGTACTTTTACGAGCAAAAAAGAAATATTCAAAAATTCGTCTGTCATATTATTTTACTAACCAGTAACATGAAAATCTTGAGAGATTAATATCTAGTTGGAATACAAACGGAACGACGTGATAGCGACATTTAAATTATAGTAATCATTTTAATGCCGTAACCAGAAACAGTTACGGGAATTCTTGTAAGTATTTAATGCGGGCTACAGCATATTGCAGGCCCGATAACGCGCACAAATTATCGCGAGTACGTTCGTTAACTTAAGTCCCTTATTAATTGACGAATATGATGTTCACGTCGCGTGTTTTCCACGTGCGCGACACTTATAAAAAGATTCGCATCTCCACGGAGAGACCCGTTAATCAGTCTAAGTTCATTTAATCTATCGACGACTTAACATATGAGATGATCGTACGAGCGAAATTTAACATCAGTGTTTGTTGGGATCAATGACATATCTTTCATCCTTTAATCCAAAAGTGGATAGGCGAACTTGCAACGCGAAATATTGGTTAAAGAATAAATAAATACAATTAGGTCCTCGGTTAAGAAAAAGAAACATTGGAATATTGGAAATAAAGTAACTGTAATAAGTGCTCTCTTCTTCAAAACAGATAAGGAAGGACATTCGGTAACTTTGTAAACGTTCCTGAAAGTTTTTGTACTGTAATAGTAAAATTTCCAAAATTCTAAAGTATTAGAAGTAAAGTGAACATAATCACCTAACAATTTTCTGTTTGACTGATAAATGGTTCGAAAAAAATAACGAAACTAAAACAGAAAGTTATATGACTAAGTTCATTTGTATTTTATTTGTATAAAATATAGGATTTTCGAGTTACGGAACTTTTTTCGTAAGAATCTTTCTCTTCGAATAAATGAAATTCTCGCAGCGGAAAGACACGCATGTATTTCAGTTTTGAAAGAAATCCATTGTACAATCTACTCGATTCATTACTCCACTATTGGCTTTCCTTTTTATGCAACGCTTTGCGCGTGATGTATTGGGAAAAACACATTAACTCTTCTTCATCGAAATAATCCCGTGTGTTGAATTAGCGACATGTGAAAGAGTTAACAGTATCGTAGAGTGATGTACGCTGCTCTGTGAGCCAAATATCGAGGTTTTTATCCGACCGGGAGAAAGTAACTACTCACCGAGAGTATCCTGCCACAAAACACCTCTCTATTGGAATTACGACGCTCAAATCATGCATGGTGCGATTGGTTATTCACTTATCCGCCCAAAAAGTTCTGCAGTATCGGAAAATTTTCAGTTAGGCCAGGGTCCTATCCTATGTATTAAGCGTCGAAGATGAATGAAAAGAACTAAAAAAGAAGACAATTAATAGATATGAGGCGTGATTTGTCTTAAAGTTTATGAGGTTGTCGGAAAATACCATACGTGCGACGACGCAGTTAGAACTTGATATACTATGTTACTCACATAGAAAATAATTGCTAAATAATACAGTTGTGCCATAAAAATTCTAAGAAAAATGGATTTATTTCAAAACTAAAATAAACAGAAGTATGAAATATATACTTATTTTGTTGAATTGATCAATCATAATAGAAAAATAATTGTAACTATTAAAAAGGTTCACTAGATTCGGTTTCACAAAATCTCGCAGCGTGCAGGCGTCTGCTGCTTTCATCAGACCAGTGTTCGAAACACGTTTCAATCAGTTGGCTCGATTTCGAACAAGTTTTTTCACCTAAATTTGGAAAGGGCTTGTTCTAAATCTCATCAAATAACGTCAGCTTGTGCTATCTAAGTTGGTGAAAGCAGCGTCAATATTCAACGAGGTTTTGCACGCTAGAAAGTCCGATCGTTTGACGAAATTTGTGAAGACAGAAGATGGACATTTTAAATAATTGTTTTATTGTTTTGTTCAATAAAACGAGAGTATACTTTTCGTCATGCTTTTTATTTTACTTATGAAATAGATTCATTTTTCTTAGGAACAGATTTTATGGCACGGCTATATACGTGTGTATACAATTTTTAAATTGTTACATTCTGATTTCTGAATCCAGTTACAAAAGCTGTACGCAGCGTTTCTTCATTTCTTCGCTCGAATCTTTTCTTTTTCTCCCTAACGTGGGAAGAAATATCTGTAGTGCGACATTCAGCGTTGAATATAATTACGTAAATAATGGAGATTAAGCGAGACTATTTGCATCGTGGAGTTTGAAAGGAACCAGAGTCTCGACCGTTTCGATTTAATTTGAATCTTATTCACGAGGATAAATATAGAAATGGCTTTTCAAAGCCGCTGCTTTTGCACACATTTAATATCACTCGCTACGTATATATCATGTTACACATTACGTATCTAATTTTCTTCTGTTATTTACAAAATTTTATCCGCGCCTAAGTACGTACATATTATTGACTTAAGAGACAATTTCAGGAGACAATGGGTCTCGTGCTGTTGTTAATATCCTACGAAATGCGGTTCGCAATTACACCTATGGTATATCTGTTGGTTTTTCCACAATTCTCTCTTTGTGCTAACATCGATTTGGCACCGTAATATATAAAACTCTGTTTTAAAATTGAATATTCCACGGTCGGGAACGGTCGTTCGCGCGCTAAACCGAGAATTCTCGTTTGACATTATACGTATACATATTTAATTTTTTTTCCCCCACGACTCTCTAGCTAATATATCGATCTCAAACACGTAGATATATGTATCAAACTACCGATAATCGCGTTGGTTGCTAAACGAGTCTGTGGAACTCCGCTATGGATTGTACCGCGCAGCGGCAGTTCGTTAATTAATCGTTCTAAGGTACGTGTTTTATGCACTCGAGTACACTTCCGTAAACACTGACAATACATATCAATGTTCTCGACCTGTTTCTTCTAAGAGTAATATATCTCGTTTAAATAATAAATTTTTAAACAAATCTGCATAACAGGTATCTTTGTCGATATCTCGTGTTATACTTATATTTAATAAACTTCTCCACGACATGACGATGACGGGAAGATATGATTCGATCCGATCAGAGCTTTAGAATGAGAAATTGTTAAGACTCGCACTTAAACCGGACATTGCAATATAGACTCATGCGAACAGGTCTCTCCTTAGACTAGCACTGTTATATTTAGAGTCCATTAATGTCATCGTTCGTTAATCGGCTTATTATCGCAGGCAGTTGTACATTTATAAAGTTACTTACGCTCTCTTCGGGCCGACAGTTCAATATATAATTTTTCGTCGTACGTCTAATTAACGTATTTAACCATCGTTCATGCGTCCCTACTACGCAGTATTCCATTATGTCCGGATAATGACTATTCATCGATATCTTTTTTATTTGCAGATATTAGAACATTTGTTCAATTGTAACAAGAGGCAAGGAAAGAAAGCCCGGCGTTAATATAAATAGTGACGATATAAAGATTCATTACTGCATAATGCATATTTTCACGAGGTATAGAATACGATTTCCGAGTGTGTTACTGCTAAATTACTATGCATTTTAAAGATAATTATAAATTATAACAATAAATACTACTACATTAAATAAAATTCCCAACGCGTAGTAAAATAAAATTGTATTACTCTATTGTTGTTTGTGTTGAGAAAATCTTTGGTAAATTTTACTCGAGTTAATCACAAAGACATCGATATACAGTCACGGAAAGTAACTCATGATGCTAGGCACATAAGTACATACGTATTGTAACAGCTATTATATTAGTACATGCACGCAGTGTCAACGACGTCCCTTTAGATTTCAACGCTATACATAATATTTTGTACAATTAAGAAATATCCCATTTCTCGAGGGAACAGATTCCGCAATCATAACCGTAATATGTGTATTTACAGACGCTCAATTATCAGAGATATTAATTAGTCGTTAATTAAAAGTAATTTAATAATTGATTAAGTGATATCGATGGAGCACAGAATGAAATCCGCGATGTTTCTTAAATATTAATGAACCGAGTAGAACTTTGGAGAAATCTTATAAAAATCTTATAA